TGCACCATCCTTACTGTGTAACTGGGAGTGCTGTTCTCGGTCCTTACAAAGACACACTATTTGAGCTAAGACAAAAATATGGAACCTCGGGGCATTTAATAAGCAATCAGCTACCACATTTTCTCGAAGCATTTAAAAGAATGGGGTAAACTTTTTTTCCTGATGGAGACGACGACAGGCAAGATAATGAGCTGGGGTGGATTGTTGAAATTGAAGGTGTCCTTTACACCAACTGTTAACTCCGTGAGATACCGTTTGGATTAAATATTCTCCATTGGGATGTCTTTCTTGCCAACAATATTTTGAAATTCGAAACATGATTCTTGAAATTCCTGAGTAGGTTTAGGCATTTTCCAGTCTTCCAGTCTTCATATGCTCTGTGATTTGGTCTGTTGATATTCTGATATATGATTTAAGACCCAGATCATTAATTTAAGGGGTCTAATTTTAGCTCAGGACCCATAGGTGCTGTTGGGTCTGTTTGAATTTTGGCATTCAATCTTTTAATGAAATCCTGATTCCGCTTTTTATTAATCCCGTCACAGAACGTCTTTCTCTGGATGTTGGTTCCTGTATCTTCTCAAGATAGATAGCGCACAAGGATGAATTTGTTTTTATATTAAACTTCATCAAATAAAAGCCTCGAGAGACAATCAAAGTAGAAGATTAATATTAAAACGGTGAAGATAGATTAAATGTGTTATATGAATGAAAGAGATGGTAAAAATGGTTATAAGGATAAGGAGGATAGATAAAGATTAACCACTTAACTTCAAGATATAAAGATTATAGTGTTCACGGAATCACCCACGTAAGAGTCTATTCCACAACTTAATAGTTCTTAGGAAAAAGTTGTCTGAGTTTCTCCTCAAATTTGAAATGCGGAGGAAATGTGGCTGATTCGACTCTGTGAAAGTAGCATCGCATATCTTAGCTGAAAAAATATAGAACATATGGACATTTGACATGGAAATAGCGATAGTAATGTTATATGGCGTCTGAATGAGGTTGCAAAGAGAAGGATTAGTCTTTCTTCACAAGACCGCATGAACAATTCTGAACTCCATTACAGCTTGAAAAAAAACTTTGAGCAGTTTTAGTTAAGCAGTAAATTTTAGCTTAATCTGATTCTTGCAATTATAAAATTATCCTTACTATACCCTATTTACATTATTCGGACTATCATCCTCACCTTTGTTACCATATTTATCACAACGTTTCGGCCGTTGTACGCCCGGCTTTCTTCAGGTGGTTGGAATGTCGAACTTAACCCTTTATTTCGCTCGCTGGTTTAAAACTGTTCCAGTTCCACGTGCAATGTCTAATGGATGTCAGTTATCAGTTATCTCCTGTTAATTCCCCTCTCCAAGTTCTCCACTGCCTTAACCAGGTATTAAATCTTTGAGTCATATCAGTGGATCTAACCAACGGCTTTATCCACTATGCCATGTGTCCTTAAGTCCAGCATGAAACAGCCTATCACCACTGAGTTTTGACTTCAATGTTCACTTTTATATTTATATTTACATACATCCTATTTCTGATATTGAGTACTTTATCCCATAAAAATAGAACGCCTTAAAACTATATTTCTTTATATATATATATATATACATATATATATATATAAAAAAAAAGAGGTTATAGTAGTTCCAACGAGAGAAAAGTGTGTATAAAGAAGAGAGATACCGCAAACATTTTTGGTTGTAATGTGGATTTTTAAAAAAAATATTATTCTTTATTTTCCATAATATTTTCCATATATATATATATATATATATATATACTAGCAGTAGAGCCCGGCATTGCCCGGGGATGTAACAGTAAGAGATAGATCAAGTATCGACCATCATAAAGACTGAAAAATAAAATTGACAAAGATTATTGTTTAAGGTTGACGGACACGCATATCGTAAGTAGGTTTTTTTTTTTTTCTTACGAATTGGTCAAACCCAAACTCAAATAAAAACATTGTTTACAATCGTTATGAGTCTATCGATTAATGAATAGAATTTTATTATAAACAATTGTCTTGTAAATGGAATTTTTAAAGCATTCTGAATGTAAAAATAAAGAAAAATGTGTGCAAGACAATAAGAAACACTACATGCCAAAACAAAAAGTGAAGTTTTGTTAAAATCGGTTGAAAAATGTAGGTAGCCTTTTTGTAATCTTTTAGTTTTCCAATTTATGATTTTTACTTATTGAATACAGTAAAAAAAATTGCATATTTTGCTTGTGGTGATTCATAATTAGAATTCTGATTTGAATATATTTTCCACTCGTTGTTTCTAATACAAAAAATATTAACTTTATTTCGGTTTATTAATTTATTACAAGGTAAGTACTGTGTTCTTTCCTTAATAATTATCATCTTCGAAATATTGTTGTTTTTTGTCTATCAGATTTCTTACGTCTGCATTTTTAAATTATTTCTTAATACTTTCTTTTAAATATTGAATTAATTTCAAAGAGAATCAATGCCTTATTGATCTGCCTTGTAACAAATTGCAAAGGGAATTGTAAAAACGGCCCTAAAGTACGTGGACTTATCTTTCACTAAAGATAAAAAATTATCCGATGTTTCGATTCGTACAATCAGCAGAGATCGTTAGATTATTGTTTAGGTTGATGGACACGCATATCTTAGCTTTTTATTTATTTTTTTTTTTTACGAATTGGTCAAACTCAAACAAAAACATTGTTTTCAATCGTTATGATGAGTCTCCGGATTGAATAGAATTTTTGTCTTGTAAATGGAATTTTTAAAGCATTCTGAATGTATAAATAAAGAAAAAAAGTGTGCAAGACAATAAGAAACACTAACTGCCAAAAAAAAAAAGTGAATGTTTGTTTTATCGGCTGAAAAATATAAGAAATCCGATCCCATATATAAAGAAACACACACACACACAAACAACGTGGTTTTTTTTTAACACGATGTGAGTTGTCCCCCTTTCATTCTCACGATGTGTCTTAATTGTGTTTTCAAATTGATTTTGTTAAAAAACAATTGTGTTTTTCCCATTTTCGGTGCTGTTAGAACCACCACAAGGTAATTTTATGTAGTCCTGTGAAGTTTTGTTGAAATCGGCTAAAAAATGTAGGAAATTCGATCCAATATATAAACGTTACAGACACACATACACACACACACAATCTGCGTTTTATAATAAGTAAGATATGTAGGTAAAAATTGAAAAACAAGAAAGAACTACAAACATTGGAATCGTCCAGTGCTTTAAATTTCCAGTTCAAAGAAAAAAACAACCCAAGCGAGTAACTAAGATAAAACGTAGATTGCTCAATACGCTAAGTGGAACAAAGGTACATACACTCAGAAAATAATTACACACACACATACACCTGGGTGCGTGTGTGTGTGTGTGTAATATTGCACATTGAGAGATTGTGTAAATAAAATAGTAATCGATGTAAAATAACAGAGGTTAAATAATAAATATACATTTTCTAACCTTCTTTGTCTTAAGTAAGAACCTTTAAGAATATATTGTGCATGAAACTTAAACATCATTACTAATATATATATATATATATATATATATATATATATATATATATATATGTGTTTGTGTGTGTGTGTGTGTAAATTATTTTCAAGTAGAGTGTATGTGTAGAAGAACAAAGTGAGTAAAAAAAAATAAAAAGGAAAACTATTCTTAGCCGACGCGTTTCATCCTCTAAGGCACATTATCACAGTAATTCTTTATCTTGATAAAATCTCTCAGATGATATATATATATATATATATATATAATAAATTTTTGAAGTCGGAAAGAAAACGTATATCTATATACTTATTTGTCAAGTATATACATATCTATAAACTTACTTGTCAAGAATATATATATATATATATATATATATATATATATATATATATATATATTATAAATTTTTGAAGTTGGAAACAGGCGTATATCTATATACCTACTTGTCAAGAATGACATTACTGATTAATGTTATGGAATCGTCCCATTATCGTCACCAGAATGCCAAATATTCAAGAAACATTTGCGTAACAGATTAAAGCGGAGAAATTATAAAGTAAATGGGCATTTCTGAAATTCTCATATAATTTGATTGTTCAATCCAATTCGAAAGCTTTTCTTTCTCTGAAAAGCTTGGCTAAGACCGAGATAGCCACTTTAAATGCTTTCTTTGTTATGTGGAAACCATGCGTGGTGAACAAAATCCCTTCAAGCCGACATGATTTTAAGCACCTGACATCTGATTACTTATAAGACACGGCGCGGTGAATTCACACCTGTAAAATGTCGAGACAGGCAAGATGATGGCAGATAAATTGTTACTTTGGTCGGGACGTTACTATAATGACAGACAGAAAATGAATAAGTGTGTGAATATATGCAAATAGTGAATTTACTTAATTCTGTTAGGGGAACACATTAGCGAAACATGAAGCAAAATCACACCTGGAGGTGGGATCTTCGAGATTAGATGAAAATCGGATACTTTTTAATAATAAAACTCGTCCTGGGTAAGACGTTAAACTACATCTGCGTCCTGGGTAAGACCTTAAACTATGTCCAACAGTAAGACCTCTGATCAGGAGGTTTTGAGGGGCGTGAACCACCTCTTAATTGCTGGTGTTCCCAGGTCCACTCTGACCCAGGACGGTAGCATCTGTTAGGGCCCCAGCTATGGGCAAATAGTTAGCCCTCAATCTGGGGTCAAAACGCTATGAAATGGTAAAAATAGATTTAATACCAGCAATACTTTTTTGTAAATAATTATTACCAGTAATACTTTAGTGTCAGCAATACTATTTTTAAAAAAATATTACCTGCTAAATATTTTTTGATTTTTTTTTTACCGGCAATACATTGAAAAAAAAAGAAATATTACCAACAATACATTTAAAAACATATTACCAGCAATAAAAAAACTTGTAACATTAAATAACCCATTGATGTCTTGATATGCCGTAAAACAAAACAAACCAAACCAATACATACTGAGATAGATAGATAGATAGATAGATAGATAGATAGATAGATAGATAATTTTGAAGGAAATATATTACCAGAAACAGATTTTTGACAAAAGGAAAAATTATCAGCAATAAATTTTTTTGTCGGTATTAAATAACCCCTTGAGGTTTTGACATGCCGTAAAACAAAACAAACCAAACCAAACCAATACATAGATAGATAGATAGATAGATAGATAGATAGATAGATAGATAGATAGATAGATAGATAATTTTGAAGGAAATATATTACCAGAAACAGATTTTTGACAAAAGGAAAAATTATCAGCAATAAATTTTTTGTCGGTATTAAATAACCCCTTGAGGTTTTGACATGCCGTAAAACAAAACAAAACAAACCAAACCAATACATAATAGATAGATAGATAGATAGATAGATAGATAGATAATTTTGAAGGAAATATATTACCAGAAAGAGATTTTTGGCAAAACAAAAATTACCAGCAATAAAATTTTTTGTCGGCATTAAATAACCCATTGAGGTTTTGATATGCCATAAAACAAAATAAAGCAAAATAAAACTTTTAGTCACATTCCTCTTTTTCACGTGCATCGTTCTTAATTTTCAATCACAAAATTTCTGTTAGAAAAATTCGTATATCTGTATTTATTTATATTTTCTTTTTATCAACTGTAGAATTGTTTTTCTACAGTTCATTCTTAGTGTTTGTTTACATAAGGGAGAGGTGGGAAATCAACAATTCCAAAATTCATTTTCTATTATGAATTATGCGGAGGAGTATCAAAATCTTCATTTCTTTTGCATTTTTTTAATATAAATTTTGGCCTGGCAATTCCCCAGCCATTTTCGTTTTCTTTTTTTTTTAATCATCAACAAAAAATAAATTATAAAAAACAGGAGCATAAAGAAAGTAAAGACTTTTTTTTTTCGTTTTTCAACAGATTCTATAAATGAACAACTTTTAAACCAACTATTATTATTGTCATTATTATTTTATTTCCATTGATTTATGGTTTATACTCATTTCTTTCCGGGTCCCAACCAGGGACCTGAGATCATAAATGACATTAAGACATTTTTCACCGAGCATTTTTTGGTAAAACGAAAAACCTCCCATCACATATATTTCACATAGATAAAGCCCTTCGTAAGGTATGGGCTGTACTTGTGGGTACAATTGTTTGTATTTCTTTAAGGCTTCGGCTACCCGGAATGCAACGAGTCTATTGGAATGCATTATCATCAATCCGAGGGCTCCAACTACAACTTGAATTGTCGATCTCCTCACGGTCCACATTTTTGCGATTTCCATTTCATGCTCCTTGTACTTTGATAGTTGTTTGAAGTTCTTCAAAGACATTATTATTATTATTATTATTATTATTATTATTATTATTGTTATTATTTCCTTTGATTTTGTTATATACACTTTTCTAACTGTGTCTCAAACAGAGATCTAAGATCAGAAATGACGTTATCATATTTCCCGCTGATCGTTTTTGTAAAAAAGACTATTATTATTATTATTAGCATTAATATTATTATTATTATTATTGCTATTTTCTTAGATTTCTGGTATGTAACCATTTTTTTCTGGGTCCCGGTCAGAGACCTAATTTTAGAGATGGCATCATGACACTTTCCACTGAGCAATTTAAATAAATCACATATTTTATATAGATAAAGCCCTTCGTAAATTTTCGGCTACCCAGAATCCCTTTACTGAATCTACTAGAATATTTTCCAATCAATCCTATTAATGAAACTATAACAGGAATTGTTGATGTTCTCATGTGCCACATTTTTGAGACTTCCCTTTCAAGGTCCTTGCATTTCTTCAAAGATACATTACAGGTTACAGCGACTGTCATATCAATAAGGGCGCATTTTTTGTTTGTTTGCTGTCTCTAATAATGATGTGATTAGATTTGGTTGTTGTGTCTGTGTGTATTGTGAAGTCCCATAGAATTTTAACAGGTCCTATCTCCGTAACCGGGTCTGGATGTTGTCCATACCGATTTCTTTCAGTTTCCTTTCCGTAGAAGTTGTAGATTTTCCAGTGCAGATCTTGGCCCACTCTATCATGCCGGGTTTTATATTCATTGGGTGCCAATATCATGCAACCTGATACAAGATGATCAATTGTTTCTGGACATTTATCACAGAATCTTCATTTTGGGCTAACACCATTTTTCAGTATGTGTGCTTGATAATTTCTAGTTAATAAGCATGGGTCCTGTGCAGCAAGAATAAAACCTTCACTTTCAGCTTTTAAACCTGCGACTACGAAGCCACTGATGGGTACGGGGATTGTCGACATCAGCTTGTTTGGTGTGGGCAGAGTATTTACAGTGAAGCTGTTTATCTTGCAATCGTTTAATAGAGAAAGCCCTTCTTAAGATATGGGCTGTACTTGTGGGTACAATTGTTTGTATTTCTTTAAGGCTTCGGCTACCCGGAACGCATTCAATGAGTCTATTGGAATGTTTTAATATCAATCTGAGGGCTCCAACTACAACCGGAATTGTTGATGTTCTCGCGGGCCACATTGCGATTTCGATTTCATGCTCCTTGTACTTTGATAGTTGTTTGAAGTTCTTCAAAGATACATTATTATTATTATTATTATTAATAATAATATTTCCTTTGATTTTGTTATATACACTTTCCCTACTGTGTCTCAAACACAGACCTAAGGTCAGAAATGGCTTTATCACATTTCCCACTGATCGTTTTTGTATAAGATTATTATTATTATTGTTATTATTATTATTATTATATAATTGAGCTTGTCCCTGTCTACCTTAGCTTCTTAGTTCGCACGACCGTTTTGCCGTTATCTCACAAGTAATGGAATACTCAGTTCTGATCGCTATGTTTCAGTGAGAAAATCAAAGAAAGAAAGAAGGAAAGGAGACTAGAAGTGGAAACAAAAATCAGATACTACACATTGATCTTAGCCAAAATCCGTGAAGTGATTGTATTTTCTTGCCACTTATCACTAGCAGATTGTGACACAAGGTCAGTTTAATATAGGGAGAAAAATCGCTTGCACCCCGGTCATGCCCCAAAATATCCCAGCCCCCATAATCGTTGGTTGCGCTGGTATTGGCCTTACTACCGATCACAGCTCATTGGTGCAATGAAGGGGGATTTATACCGCGGGCAGCTGTTTCTTAAGACAGAGCACCTCTTGATAATATTTTCAGTTGTGCCTTGTCCACAGCAGAGACACAACTAAGAGATGAATTATAGCTTATCCACATCATTACGCCCTGTCAATATTTAATAAATAATGAACTATTCCGTTTTGATAGCATGGAAAGAGGGGGAAAGACACTATTAGATTTCAGTTGAAAAAGAACAAAAAAAGAAAACGAAAGCAAGGAAGATACAAGTTTTTAAAGTCTTCTTCCAATAACTCCTAAATAATGGACTATTCCGTTTTGATTGCGAGTAAAAGCAAAAGACATATCAGGGACGCCACTTGGTTTCAGTGAGAAAAAGAATAAAAGTCAAAAGAAAGATTAGACGATAGAAGTGTTTTAGTAAAATGAAGAAAGTTGTAATTTTCAAATATTTTCATTTCTATCCACTTAATTCCTAAAATAACGACTAGCAGTTATAGACATGCTTGTTAATATCTTGTTAAATTTATGAAGCTCAAATATTCTAATGATGTGATAGGTGAATTTCTACAGATATTTTATTGCCACAGAACTCGCATTAACTTAAGTATTAAGATCAATCAAAAAATTCAAATAGGAAAACCGTGAAATTTTTACGGGTCATTTTAGTTTTTATTATTATTATTACACACATAAAATTATCGGAGTATCATTATCTATCTATCTCTATATATTAATATAAACGCTATATATAAGCATTATATTCACACACACACACACACACACACACACACACACACACACACACACACACACACACACACATATATATATATATATATATATATATATATAATTATTTATTCGAAAATTATAACATAAATATGTTATAAAATCCCGACAAAATAGTTCTTCTTTTTCAACACTTCTGGTGTCTTATCATGTGATGGTGTTGAATGTATAATACATTATACATTCAACATCATCACTTGAAAAGATACCAGAAGTGTTGAAACAAAATGGCTATTTTTGTAGTGATTTTATAACATATTTGCTCTACTCTGTATTGAGCACTCTTTTAAGAATAGTATTTTTTGGTTATTGGAATTTATTCCATATGCACCAATCCTATATATATATATATATATATATATATATAACGGAAAGGATTTATTTGTTTTTGTGTTTCTAGAGATTCGATAAATGAACAAGTTATTTCTACAAATTACTATTATTATAAGAAACATTATCACTTTTGATCACATAAATTATTTTTATATTTAAAAAATATAAACCAGTATATAGGGCTCTATAAAATTATCTATGTCAATCTAAACGTTATATGGATGAGGCAGCCGGTGATTTTCAGCTTAGTTCTCATAAGCGAACCACTACTCTACCCGCACATATGATCTGATTGTAATGTTCAAGGCTTGTGCACAAATGAAAACTGGTGCACATGATGTCACACAAGGTCCCAATCTGTTTCTGGTAATATTTTTCCTTCAAAATTGTATTGCTGGTAATAGTTTTTTTTTTTTTTTCAAAAATTATTGTTCGTAATAGTTAACTATTTGCCCATATCTGGGACCCTAACAGGTGCTACCACCATGGCTCAGGGTGGACCGGGGAATACCAGCAATTAAGAAGTGGTTCCACGCTCTTCAAAACCTCCTGATCAGAGGTCATGCTGCTGGATGTAGTTTATCGTCTTACCTAGGACGCGGATGTCGCTTAACGTCTTTTGAATAAATGATATTTACTCTACTCTGTATTGAGCACTCTTTTAAGAATAGCGTTTTTGGTTATTGGAATTTTATTCCGTTTACACTAATCCGATACTTGGGTATATATATATATATATATATATATATATATATATATATATATATATATATATATGAAATTGACAAAAGTCCGACAATTATCTTAAGACATTTTTTATGTTTATAAATTCATTTTCACAGATACAAATATTTAAGTAAATCCACTGTTTTATAATAAACAGTATTGATAACATTTACCGGTCTGAATATCCGAGAAATTTTCATAGAAATTATTCGTTCTCCGACAGGAATCGAACTTGTATCCTATACGGAACCGTCATTTAGATTGACGTGCCTTAACCCATCGAACCACGGAGAATCGTTCGATTGGTAAGATCGATTTTACTTTGTGGTTGGTTCTGTACAAAGCCTTCATCCCTATAATTAAATTAGGAAGTGAGCTGCTTGACCCTCCTAATTCGAATAAGACGGGAGAGTCCACCTTATATAATATGCATATATATATATATATATATATATATATATATATATATATATATATATGTGTGTGTGTGTGTGTGTGTGTGTGTGTGTGTGTGTGTGTGTGTACGTGCATGTGCTTGTTTGGATGAGAGTGCTTTCGTGTGTGTTGATCTCGGAAGAAATTTGATAAATCAAAGACACCAGAAGTGCTATCATGCAAGTAAAAATACAGACGGAAATTCATTAAAAGATTCCATTACTGAAATAATACACACATCTCACTCATTCTCTATCTCTCTCGTCTTTTTCTCTCTCTCTCTTTATATATATATATATATATGTGTGTGTGTGTGTCGTGTTGTGAAGAATCTTAAATACCCGAATTCCAGTCAGGTCAGTTTACATTCACTTACATGAAAATTCATAAATGTACCTCTTCTCTCCACTCCAAACAGGATCCTATAGGCTTGCGTGGCAACCAGTATAAGAGAAGGACACCTAAGAAGAGTTACCACTTCGAAATACCGAGTATAGTAACCATTTCGATAAACAGAGGAGTGTTCGGTTAGCAAGGTCTATTTTACTGTCTTTAAACTACAATCTTCCATGATTCTCTTACGTATATTCACAACCTCAGGGAGTCAGATGTCGATTGACATTACACTTGAATATTTGAAGATTATAGTCATCGGGGAAGGAAGTAGGGAGAAGGGAGTTCCACAGATGGGAAGTTTGGGAAAAGAAGCTGTTTGAGAAAAGAGACGGTTACATTTAACCGTTTTGATAGTGAAAGGGTGGGACCGAGATACCAGCTTGGTAGAACGTTTAAATTTATGTAGTCCGGGAACCAGCGAAAGTAGATCTTGATCTAATCCCTTCACAAAATTCCATTAGGCCTAGTCGGTGGCACGTTCATTTATGACATTTTTCAGCCCCACAAAAATAATCTTCACGGATAGGCCAACCCATCTTTCTCTAGGGCTGATCTTTGGCTCTGCTGACCCACAGACGAAGGAAATGTGGGTACTTGATAAATCAGCCTTGTCGCCCTAAGAATAAGTTAACCATTTTAATATCCACACATATCCAATTATGTTTATCATGATACAGTTTTTGTAGAAAAATCATGACTCTTGTGTAGTTCTCCTTCAACATGACTGAATGGACAATTGGGATAAATGCAAACTTCCTCTCAGCTTCCTCTTTTGACAAAGCTAGGCCTCTAACCAAGTCATTCGGTTATACCATTGTGCTACAATACACACTTCAAACTTCGTTTAGAGATGTCAATAAAGAAACGACATTAAGCTAGATTGTAATTAGGCAGTCCCATTACTAAAAGGAATCATTGGATGTTGTTGCAAAAGGAAAAGTCGTTATCTTCACTAACATAAAGAAGTTCTTTTCTGATACGGTAAAATGTTAGCTTAGCTTCGCAGTCAAGAACACGGTGGTCACTGAGACGGGGGTCCAAAATCTCAGCTGCCTCTTTGGACAAAGCTAGGCCCCTAACCATGTCATTTAACTCTCTTTGTGCGAAAGACTTCACTTTTGCAATTTGAAAATCTACCACAAACGAATGATAAATACTGCTACTGCTATTGCTGCTGTTATCGGGAGAGTAATTCATTGCTTCTGCAATATTCATAGTCCCATCATCTTGATCAAGTTCAGACAAGGAAGTAGCAACTGGAGTGGGGACACCACTACATTATGAATCCGGTCGTATTTCACATTCAATATCAGGCCACGACTTCTTTTTGTGACGGTTCCATCCAGACATCTTCGTCATGCACAAGTAGTAATCGTCATGATGATTTTTGGGCTCACGCTACACCACAAACCAAGGGTTTCAGTCCAATTCTTAAAAAAATTGTGAAGAGCCCATGAATTATTTTGCTCCCCAATCTTCACACCAAATTAAGATTAATATGCTTTTCTAGTGAAATCTTGAACATTGAAATAATTCTTTTTTACTGCATATTCACCACATATGTATCAGAAAACGCCATGGCTATTGTGGCAACGTTTACGCTAAAATTTATGAATAACGTTTTGTGTACTTGAAATATACTGACATTAGGTTAGACTGGAAGCAGCAGATTGGCTGCGGCTATCAGGCCTCTATACTGTCATTCGTATCTGTAATAAGAACAATGGTATTACGAGTTTTTCCTTAATATTTAAAGAATTATAAAACTTTAAGGAATGTAAACGGTTATGTCCCTGGCTGAAATGATAAACAAAAAAATATAAAATAAAAGAACAATTGTATTTTAAATACAAACAATATTTATTTTTTGTCTCACCTTTCTTGATTCAGGTGAATGAAAAAGAATTAAAATCAATCCACGACAGGCATCTTGTTTCGGTACCTGCATAGAAGTATTCTGTCCGGAAGTAATTTTCTGTACTAAAAGTTAAAAATTCTGTCTTGAGTAAAGTTATCCCCACTAACATAAACAAAGTGTTAAGTAGAGAGAACAAATCAAGCATGTTCCCAGTAGAGCCCGTCTAAAACGGGGTCGGGTAGCTGTTTCCCGAGACGAGACTCGGCATAGCTCCGTCTAGGGATCCTCTCTGTCATCGGGCAGAGAGTTCGGCAGTACAGCTGAAAAGATTTCAGCTATAGTATCTAGCAACTGCCCTACACAGTCACATGTGACACAAGGCCGAATTTAATGTGGGGTTCCCGAGCCCGTGGGCTCGGCCAAAAAATCTACGTAGACCCCACATAAATGGGATCGGGTTGGTCTACCTCCCCGAATGCGACTCTGCCCTTCGGCATTACCTCGTCCGGGTTCCTCTCTGTCCGAAGGCAGAGAGTTCGACCAGCACACTTGAAAAAGATTTCAGCTAGAATATTTAACCGCTCCCCCAACGAAGGTTGTATGGGGCACACGGCCAAGTTTAGCGTGGGTTATCCGAGCCCATAGGCTCGGCCAAAAAATGCCTGTAGATCCTGCATAAATGAGACTCTGCCCTTCGGCATAGCCTCATCCGGGTTTCTTTCTGCTCAGGGCAGAGAGTTCGACCTGCCAGTCGAAAAGATTTCGGCTAGAATATCTATGTGACACAAGGCCGAGATGGTTCTCCGTAGGCTCGGCCAAAAATATTCCCTTTCGAACCCGTATAAACATGCTTAGGGTCAGTCTACCTCCCCGTACGAGACTCTGCCCTTCGAACCGAGCCTCGGAAGGGTTCCTCTCTGCCTTCAGGCAGAGAGTTCGATTGTGTAGCCGAAAAAGATTTCGGCTAGAATATTTAGCCCCCACCGCCTACGAGGGTTGCATGTGGCACAAGGCCGGGTTTAATGCGAGTTCTCCGATCCCATAGGCTCGGTCAAAAAATGCCCGTAGAAACCGCATAACGGGATCAGGTTGGTCAATCTCCCCAAATGAGAGACTGCTCTTCGGCTGAGCCTCGTCCGGCTTCCTCTCTGCTCAAAATCAGAGAGTTCGACTGTCGTAGCGGAAAAGATTTCGGGTATACAAATTTATCTATCCCAACCCCAACGATTGTTGCATGTGGCACAAGGCCGAGTTTAACGTGAGTTCTCTGAACCCGTAGGCTTGGCTAAAAAATGCCCGTAGAACCCGCATATCGCGATCGGGTTGGTCAACCTCCACGAACGAGACTCTGCCCCACGGCTGAGCCTCGTCCGGGTTCCACTCTGCTCAGAGGCAGAGGGTTCGACCGTCTAGCCTAAAAGATTTGGGGTAGACAATATTTATCCATCCCGCCACGAGGGTTGCATGTGGCACAAGGCCGGATTTAAAGTGGTTTCGAGCCCGTACGCTCGGCCAAAAATGCTCGTAGAATCCGCATAACGAGATCGGGTTGGTCAACCTCCCGATTGAGACTCTGCCCCACGGCTGAGCCTCGTCCGGTTTCCCCTCTGCTCAGAGGCAGAGAGTTCGACTGTCTAGCCGAAAAGATTTCGGGTAGACTGTTTAGTCCGTTGCCGTACAGATACTTATAGGCAGTTACTACTTATAGTGTAGTTACTCTTGGGTGTGACAGGTTATTCCATTACATCAATTATTACAGAGAGAGAGAGAGGAAACTAAAAGAACAGAAATCAAGAAGACAGAAGAAAAACTATTGACATTGCATTCAAGTATATGAAGAACGAAGTTGAATAGAAAACAAGATGCCGAAAGAGAGTTCCACAAGTGAGAAATTCGCGAAAAGAAACTGATAGCATAAAACTTAGGGTTACATATAGCTTTTCAAGTGTAAAATGAGGAGACCTAACCACCAATCTAGTACTGCATTCAGAGAGTTTAGGTAGCATTGGGGAAAATTCATCAAATTACCATGAATATATTTATAGAAAAGTCACGAGGAAGCTATATTACAATAGTGGGAAAGTTACTGAAGTGGAGGTGACAGGTTATGACATTGCAGATTCTTATGGGATTTTATGAAGGAAGTCTATATATATATATATATATATATATATATATAAGAGGAGCACCAGACCAGATGTGGCAGCTATATCCTTATCCCTTTCTTTCTTTCTTTATCTCTCTCTCTCTCTCTCTCAATATATATATATATATATATATATATATATATATGTTTAATACAGATGGTCTTCGGGTTACGTCGGAGCCGACGTCAGGCGTTTCGTAGTTACGGCACTATTTCCCATAATCATGGTTCTATATGGGGAAGACAGTGTTCTTTCTTCACTGGCTGTATGCTATATTGATTTGTGTTACATTTACTATCTTTTGTTTGTGTCGTTTCTTTTTTTTTTTTGGGGAGGGGGCTGTTTGACTTTCATTGTGGCTCCCAAGCTTCAGACAGACATGTGGGTGCTTATGTCGGTGTTCCGATCTACGTCGAAAAATCAGTTTATGTCACGCCGCAGGAACGTATCTCCGACCTAAGTCGAGGACCCTCTGTAAAAATGTAAAATTTGTCACTTAGCAGACTGATGCTATTTTTATAAACAGGTAATATGACGATATATAATTTTGTCTAATTTTATATATGAACAAAGCGTATTTAGAAAAATTATTATGACAAATTGTAAAAAAAAGCATTTGTGAAGCGTTTCATCTGAAGGAATTCTAACGGATGAAACGTGTCACAAAAACTGTTTTCCAATTTAACATACTATTTTTCTAATATATATATATATATATATATATATATATAGATAGATAGATATTGAACAGTATTTTGCTTTTCGTCTACCGGCCTGAATATACTGGAAATCTGATTAATGAAAAAATACTCTCTGTACCGTGGCTTGAACCTACGTCGCCTTTGGCAGGAGGAACCGTTGTTAGATTCGGTGTGCTTCAAGTCACTCAATCGCAGAATGCGTCGAATAGTGACTTATAAACGCAAATCTTTCTCAGACTCTCAAAACATTCATAACGGCTCAGTTTCTTATAATAACGTAAACAAAGCAATTTCTAAAGAAGTGATGGATTTTCCTTTGTTCATTCAACAGATTTTATTACGTAAACGTTGTTTTTAGCAGATAACCGATATTTGCGTAGACGTCCCGTTTATTTATTAAACAGTATTAATTTATTTGTTTTGTCTAACAGCCTGAATATTCGAGAAACGTTATTAAAGAAAAACATATGCTCTCCGGCAGAATTTGAACCTGCATTCTCCTTGGCAGGAAAAACCGTCATTATATATGAGAAACCAAAGAGATATAAACACAAAAAAAAAGGAAGTTGCATCAACCTAACAAGGTTACAGTTTTTTTAAAGCATTTTCGCCCCAAAAGAGGCGGGAGTGCCACTAGTACGCAAGGGATTATAGAGGGTGAGGGCAAGAGTAAAGAGGGGTGTTTGAGGAAAGGATAAAGAGAAGGGCAGGGAGCAATATCAAGGTATCAGTAGATATCGATTGACTTTACACTTGAATATTTGAAGATTATAGCTATCAGGGGTAGCAAGTAAGAGGAAGTGAGTTTCACTGTCGGGAAATGCGATAGAAGAAGTGACGGACATATTTAACTGTTTCGACAGTGAAAGTGTGGGACCGAGATGCAAATCTAGTAGAAAGCGTAAATTCATGCAGTCTGGGAACTAGCGAAATTAGCTCGTCGAAGTATTTGCCGTGAAAATACTTGTAGAAAAGACAGAGCGAAGCCACGTCACGTCTGTGAGAAAGTGACTGTAGACGTGATACTAGTTCAGCCCACATGCAGCTGTTGCATATTTTCAGTCACATCCATAGGTTAACGTTAGAATCCAATTTGATTTTGGATGCAGAATTTCAAGTCCGGCTGAACTTACTTTTATGAAATTTGCGCAGTATGAAATGAAATTTGCTCCATATCTCTACTCAAACTTAAGATGAAAAGGAGACATTGATGTTCATTCCTTTTTCGAACCTAAATAAATCATGTTTACTTATCTTTTCAAGCTGTGGGCATTCTAGCGTGGTTATCGGTATGAGACGGCTCGAGATTATCTTCTTAAAAGGAAAGAAAAATACGTTAGCGAAGCGTGTCCAATGGCTTTAAAAAAAATCCCAAAAGGCTTTTAAAAACGAAATACCATTAGAAACCATTAAAGTACAAAAACGTACCCTAATAATCCAAATAATCTGACATGGAGTGGGGCGGGGTAAGTAATTGAATTTACTTAAATT